TGACTCTAGTGTCACTGTGTCAATTTTGCCAAAATTATCTTGGGGTAACCTGACAAGTAATATGGCAGCCTTATTTCAAATTTGGTTTTCAGATACAAGACATGCCTCCCAGACCATTTGAGTCCTTTGGTTTATGGACCAAGGATGTACATTATTTCCTCAAACCCAGTAATCATGTGTTCTCAGGTATTAGAAACCGAACTCAGGTTTCCAATCAGCTAACTTGATATTGAACAATAGCCAGTTTTAATTGTGCAGAGCACTGCAGTTTGTGAAGCAGCACCATGGCCATTGATGTTCTGCATGGCTGGTTTGTGCTCACTCCTCCACTATAATATCAGTATATCATTTGTAGAAACGTGAAAAACTAAGGCAGTGTAATCTAAAAACTCTAAACATATCATCTGATTAAATACTGTGAGGACTATAATTGGAAAACTAAGAATGATATAGACATTAACTGATATGAGAACTTAAAATACACGAGTTTCTTAAAGATATGGGGTTGGAAATTGAGAATATTAGGACATTTTCATTTGTTTCACAAAAACAAAAATGGATTAGCAAGTATTTGTAGCATAAAAACCTGTTAATAAAAAAAATCACTAGAATAGAGACAAGTTTTCTGGTCATTTATGATAATATTGCCATAAAATTGGCCAAGTACTATAATATATACTTGCTAAATCTAGTATTGGACTTCGGTCATTAAGAAAATATCTATCTCCCTGAGTAAACACAACAGCCTGTTAATTTTAATGACCATTTGTAGGTATCTAGAAAATATTTTTGTCCCCCCATACCTAGTCTTGTTCAGTAAGAGACAGGGAAATGGTAACTAGTCAGTCTGCATGGTCCCATACTTTAGTTCACCTCTCAGGCTGGCTTTATTAGTTGGACAGTGGATTCTGTGTTTTTACTGAAAGAGACATAAGGTCACAAGCTTTATTCGCAGCTCCAAAATACTCATGACTCTTGAAAAGTGCCTGAGACCTTCTTGATGATGGCAGCCATATCTAACCACTTGTTTGGATTCCTGATCGAGGTTCCACTGGTTAGTGATATAAAGTTTTGGTTCTGGGCAACTAGTCTGAGTGAATCATTCCAAATGGATATGGTGACAATAATTCTAAACCTTGGCAACATCCACCGGGGATATAGTCTCAGTAATCCTGTCTAAACCCCTGGTTTTGGCCAGGATAGTAGCAGTCATGGCCTATTGCTAGTCTCTTTTGGAAAGTAAAATGACTTTTTTGATTCAACAGGCATATCTCTGGTTGTGGACCAAAGGGAAGGATAGCAATATCACGAAAGAAGTATTATATTATGATGCTGATAATTCTCTTTGTTGACTTTACATCTAGAGTAACTTTCTCATTAGCTGCAACCACAGTATTGAAAATAAGCATAGAACGTTTATCAGGAAATCCAGAACTGGTTGTGTTTATCTACTTTTTAGAAGTTTTTTCTGTGCTGTATAAGAGATTCCTTTTCTAATTAGATTCTGGTCCCTTTTAATAACCTTTATTCTCCTGATACCTTCTGCTATATTGCATTTTACTGGTTTTCCATATGAAATAAAGTATTACTTTTTTGAGGAAGTGTAACATCATGTGCCATTAAGGATTTTTAGCAATTTTCTATTACTATATTGGATAAGCATCAATTTTGCCCTCCTGATCAAATTGACTTCATCGTGTGTTTTTATTGTTTGAGAGGTTTTTACCCTCCAAAAATGTTCAGCATTTGAAAATGATATATAAAGTATAGAACAGGGGTCAGCAAAGAGCAACCCATTCACAAGGCCAAAACAAACCCACCAACTGTTTGTTTGTTTTTTTTTGAGTTGGAGTCTCACTCTGTCGCCCAGACTGGAGTACAGTGGCCACT